TTCTTACAGACCACGGTAAAACACATAAGGAAACAGAAATCTCGTAATCTTCAAAAATGTCTTCGTCCCTCCCCAAGAAGATTCTTTGAAGGAAGTTATTATTGCTGAAAGCTCAAAAACTCGCATGTGCTGCTCAAAAACCCATGGGAAAAATGTTCGAACGTGTGATTTTCTCGGAAAATGAACTTTGAAAAACGGTTTGGTGCTTGTTAGAAAGAGCAAATCCTGTACTTTCACCCCATGAAAAAGTGCATCACAGAAATGAAAATGAAGTGAGTTATGCCCGCTTAAAGCCCAAAAACTCGCGATTTCAAAAAAAGTGTTCGGCAAAACCCCCCAAAATGTTCGAACGTGTGATTTTCTCGAAAAATGAACTTTGAAAAACGGTTTGGGGCTTGTTAGAAAGAGCAAATCCTGTACTTTCACCCCATGAAAAAAGTGCATCAGAAATGAAAATGAAGTGAGTTATGGTCGCTGAAAGCCCAAAAACTCGCTTTTGCACGAAAAATGTTCGAACGGGACAATTTTCAAAAGATCTTCGTGCGTCAATAGAAATATGACAGTTCTGAATACCTTTTACATTTTCCATGTCGTCATACGAAACTTATTATGCCTTCAAACTTCAAGTAACGCCTCTTTAGAATATCGGTTTCCCACTTGTTAACGGAAGTACTAGGAGAAGTGTCTATGCACGTGCAACCAAGCTTCCTCTCCGGGATCAAATAATTGTACAAGACCTGTTTGGAAGATTGAAAAAACTACTGACTTCTACGACCTCTGTCCTCGCAAAGTCTTGTATAGCATAAAGGATAAATAAAGCATTTGCCGTTGATCAATCCCTTTTTGGGATGCGGCACGCATTCTACTTCCATTTGTACATTCGCAGTGGCATTTGAATGCGATGTGGCCTATACAATGACTTGCGGGGGCCAGCCGATGTACAAGTCAGTGTTTTTATCCTCCCAGACAAGTCTGGTACCAATTAACCGACCCCGGAGGGATGGAAGGCTTGGTTGGCCCGGGCGACTCACGACCCAGGATTTGATCCCGGACCGCTCGCGTGGTGAAGCGCGCCACTTGTCACTGTGCCCCTTTTCCGCCCTCGTGTAAGCGCCTATGCACTAAAACGCCACTACCCCCTCCACTCATATGGAAATAGGATCGTGCGGCAATCCCATATATATATAAGAAGTTATTTTACCAGTTTGGCTGCGCACGCATTCGCGTGCATGAGACGGGGCTCAGCGGTAAAATCGGGCCCATCAGTATTTTTGTCTTGATTTTAGCTTTCTGCTCGGTACATCTTACTTACGCCGCAAACTCCGCCCACATCCGGGTGTGCCACGCCCAGCGTTCACATTCAACCTCTACTCCTACTTTCACCTCTGGCGTATTTTTTTTCAGGTCTCTACGTGGAGCCGAATTATGAGGTCTTGTAGGACGAAATCGAGCTACGTATCTTTGTGGCAAACCCCGCCCACTTTGGTGCGTGGGTCGCCCACTGATATCAGTCGGCTATCATCTCTTCCCCAACCTTTTTCTACTTTTCTCCCATCTCTGGAACTTATTGGAACCGAGTTATGAAGTACCGTGGCAAACCCCGCCCACTTTGGTGCATGCTCCGCCCGCCAACAACGGTTGACCCCTTTCCCTCTGCCAACCCTCATACGCTTTTTTCCCGGACTCCGGGACTCCTAGGAACCGAGTTATAAGCCTAATTGCAAACTCCGCCCACTTTGATGTAAGCCACGCCCATCCCTGACATTTAGCTTCCCCTCCCCTCCTGACCTCTATCCGTTGTTTTCCGGTCTCTAAGTCATCTCGGAGCCGATTTATGAGCTCTTGTAGAAAATGCTGTCCGCTTCACGACACGCTCCGCCCATTGTGGGCGGGCCTCCGTTCACATCATGCGTGGTGGAAATACCTTAGGCATTGCTCCCCTGCACTAATTTCGTTCCTGGTCTGTAGGCTTCCTCTTAACCGAGTTATGAATATTTTCACTGAGCACCCATTTTCTAGAGAACGCCCCGCCCACCGAGGGTGGGTCTCCTCAGTTCAATCTGGCTTACCAACCCACACCTATGCCCACTTTTGTCCCGGTCTCGAGGCTGTTTTGTGACTGAATTTGAAATCATGGTCCTCAGTACCACTCATTTCGACGCACGCCACGCCCACTGTGGGCGGGGCTCCGCTTAGGTAATGTATGTTTTTACTTCTCGAGATATGGTACACCCATCCCAAACATGACCTGGACCCAGTAGGTTGTTGTCCGCTAATACGGAATTTCGTGACAGACAGACAGACAGACAGACTTAGCGCATTATATATAGTAGGGATCCTTTAGTAATTAATAGTT